AGATGGTTTAAATCTTGGAAATGAATCTCTGGATGATGCTTCACTTTTAGAGGCATTGGAAAAGAATGGACTCTGGGAACAAGCCCGTAACTGGGCGAGGCAGTTGGGGGCCAGTGGAGGAGCCTGGAAATCAGCTATTCATCATGTCACTGAGACCCAGGTAAAGCTTTCGGTTTCTTGTGTAGGATTTTAAGCTAGTAGATGGATTTTACGATTCTCAACCTAAATTGTCTACATGCAAGCACATACATCTATACTTTGATCCTTGTTCTCAATTTTGATTTGCCTTGCTCATGAGATAAGCATAACCTGACTTCTGTATTCTGTTGGATGTGTTCCATGGATTGTGATTGTTCGAAAATGTAGATCTTGCTCAAGATTAATTGTTATGTCAGCTGCATTTTTTAACTGCTGTTTGATTGAAGTGAATTTGACTAGTTTGGTTGCCTATGGTAGCTTATGTTCTTAAAGTTTCCTTGGTTGACAATTGAGATTCTGAAAAACAGATGCTCAGGCCTTTGTGTTTCTTTTTTCCTCTTGTCCTTTGTCTTTTTGGTTGTTGTTTGGACCTGGCCTCTCTTCCTTGGCCTTGGATCTTCAAACTTCAGGCTGAATCAATGGTGGCTGAGTGGAAGGAGTTTCTTTGGGATGTCCCAGAAGAAAGAGTTGCTTTGTGGGGTCACTGTCAAACATTATTCATCAGATACTCCTTTCCTCCTTTGCAGGTAATTTCGGTTTTGTTCACTTAAACAACAGTTTCCATGTGAATCAAGTTTTACAAAGTTGCTAAGTGCATTTTGTCTTTTGTTTGCCTTTTACAGGCTGGCTTGTTTTTCCTAAAGCATGCTGAATCAGTGGAGAAAGATCTTCCTGCCAAAGAGCTGCATGAACTGCTGCTGCTTTCACTTCAGTGGTTAAGTGGGATGATAACCCTGTCTAATCCGTAAGTGATTGATCCTATTTTTGACATTCATTTTCTCTTGATGACTGCACTGGTCTGACATGTATATGATCACTTAACCAGAGTGTACCCATTGTATCTACTTCGAGAGATAGAGACTAGAGTGTGGCTCCTAGCAGTCGAATCAGAGGCTCAGATAAAGAGCGATGGAGAGTTTGTTTCAACTGCTTCAACCCGAGATCCTGCAGTTGGACATCCATCCAACATGATTGACAAGACAGCAAGTTTAGTATCAAAGATGGACGGTCATATTAATGCAATGAAGAACCGGTCTACTGTCGAGAAGCACGATTCACGAGAAAATAACGGCATGCTACATCTCAAGAACCAGGTAGCTGATGCCAGTTCCTCGGCTGCTGGTGGAAGTATGAAAACAAAACGAAGAACCAAAGGTTATTTCCATCCAAAGCGATCAGATGCTGAAGAGATATTTTCCAGTTCAGTTACTTCTAGAAACGACTTGCCGTTACAAGACGAGAGTGGTGAGAAAATAGAGGTGTCGTTTTCAAAGTGGGAGGAACAGATTGGAACTGAAGAAATGGAAAGGGCTGTGCTTTCGTTGTTGGAATTTGGACAAATAAGTGCTGCCAAGCAACTTCAGCATAAGCTTTCGCCTTCAGAGATGCCTCCTGAATTTGTACTTGTGGATGCTTGTCTGATGATTGCAGCTATCTCTACCCCTTGTAGCAAAGTATCGGTTTCCATGCTCAATGAAGATGTCCGAGCTGTTATGCAATCGTACAACCTATGCACAGAGCAGCATCTGATTGATCCAATAGAGGTTAGTTTCTTTCCGATCAGTCTCAATCTTGAACTCGAGCTGTCAAATTTACTAAATGTTTTATTTGTGTTCCTGAGTAAGCGAATTTTTCTAGTCATATTCAACGGGGAAAAAAAAATCTAATCACCTCTTTTCTTATTCTTTCTTTTGGATACAGGTCTTGGAAAGTTTAATTCCCATCTTCACTGAGGGTAGGGGACGTGGAATATGCAAGAGAATTATAGCAGTGGTGAAAGCTGCAAATGTATTGGGTCTCTACTTTTCTGAGGCATTCGACAAGCAGCCACTTGAATTACTCCAACTGCTTTCTCTTAAAGCACAGGAGTCATTTGACGAAGCTTTACTACTGGTGCAGACTCACTCCATGCCGGCCAGTAGTATTGCCCAAATTCTGGCGGAGTCCTTTCTCAAGGTCAGTGTACTGTGTTTTGTAAATATCATGTTTGACACCTCCGTTAGCTTTTATTATGTTAGTCTGGCATCCACAATCAAGAAAATGCATGAATGATCGAATCTCGGGGATGAAGTTGGTGTTTCCAGAAGAATTGAAAACTTGGTTCCAGTTACCTGAACTTTTCTGTATTATTCTAGATGAAAGAATTAGATTTGAGATATCCAAGGTTTGTAACTAGTGTTAATATGTTCTTACGCACCACTGCCACTAAATTAACTCATTACATGTCTACCTGAGAACATTATGCTTTGGTACTTCCCCCCAAGTTCATTAGTTGATACAGTAGTTGAATCCTGTCAATCTATGATGGTTCTCCCCCAGTCTTCAATGATGCATTAGTGAATAATTTTCAGTCGCCTAATAGAGCAACTGCTGTATGTTATCTATTTCATTCCAGGGTGTATTGGCTGCACATCGTGGTGGATATATGGATTCTCAGATGGAAGAAGGACCTGCACCTCTACTATGGAGATTTGCAGACTTCTTAAAGTGGGCTAAGCTTTGCCCTTCTGAACCAGAAATCGGCCATGCCTTGATGCGCTTAGTGATTACTGGGCAAGAAATACCACATGCCTGTGAGGTATATTCCCAGATACCAATTTATCTGCATTGCTGCTGTGTTTTTCACTTTTGTCCTTGTTTTTCCATAAATAAAAACCTAACATCCATTTCTCAGTATAATCTTCTCACTAAAAGGGTAAATACTGATCATGGTGATTATATATGTGGTCTATATGAGCAATAAATAAGCCCTATAGCCTTCTATGGTAACATGGTCCTTGCATTTATGCTTGATTGTCTCTGTGTTAAGTTTCTCACTCAGCTACTGTTCTAGTTTCTCTATATTATAGTGCTATTAATATAAGGACATAGAGTGATGCAAATGATGACACTATTTATCTGATGACTGAATGGTTAGCTTAATCTGAAATCTATTGCTCTCTCAGGTCGAGCTCCTGATCCTCTCTCACCATTTCTACAAATCGTCAGCATGCCTTGATGGAGTTGACGTTCTGGTGGCCCTCGCTGCAACTAGAGTAGAAGCTTATGTGTCTGAAGGCGATTATTCTTGTTTGGCACGTCTATTAACTGGAGTTGGCAACTTCCAAGCACTTTATTTTGTTCTTGGGATTCTCATAGAAAATGGCCAGCTGGATCTTCTCCTTCAGAAGTTTACAGCTGCTGCAGAGACAGACTCCGAGACTGCTGTGGCTGTTGAAGGATTCCGGATGGCTGTACTTACAGCGCTGAAGCATTTCAACCCCAAAGATCTAGACGCATTCGATATGGTTTGTGCTTCCACTTACTCCTTTATGTTGCTTGTTCTGCTCATGGATTAATTCCTTTAAAGTTTAAACCCCAACCTCACTCTCCTCTCTACCTTTATCTCTCTTTCTGGTGTTTTCCTGGCGGAGTGACAGGTGTTATTTCATTTCTTCCTTTACAGGTCTACAACCACTTCAACATGAAACACGAGATCGGAGCTCTCCTAGAGTCGCGAGCACGTTCCTCGTCCGAGCAGTGGTTCCGCCGCTATTACAAGGACCAGAACGAGGAGCTCCTCGAAGCCATGAGGTACTTCATCGAAGCAGCCGAGGTCTACTTCTCCATGGACGCTGGCAACAAAACCCGCAGTGCCTGCGCCTCAGCCTCCCTAGTCTCCCTACAAATTCGAATGCCTGACACCACACGATGGCTCAACTTGTCTGAGACCAACGCCAGGCGCTTACTAGTCGAGCAATCCCAGTTCCAGGAAGCCCTCATCGTCGCAGAAGCCTACGGGCTCAACCAGCCGGGCGAATGGGTTCTCGTTCTGTGGAACCAGATGCTGAAGCCCGAGCTGACCGAAGCGTTCGTGGCAGAGTTTGTGGCGGTGCTCCCACTGCAGCCTTCAACGCTGATCGAGCTGGCAAGATTCTATAGGGCTGAGGTGGCGGCAAGGGGAGACCAGTCTCAGTTCTCCGTTTGGCTGACCGGGGGTGGGATGCCAGCGGAATGGGCCAAGCACTTGGGAAGATCGTTTAGGTGTTTGTTGAAGGTGACCTGGGATCTGAGACTAAGGGTACAACTTGCTAGCATTGCTACCGGCTTTATGGATGTTGTGGATGCCTGTATGAACGCCCTGGATAAGGTTCCTGAGAATGGAGGCCCTCTTGTGCTGAGGAAAGGCCATGGTGGTGGATACCTCCCGTTGATGTAAGCTCCTATTCACCAGCCAGCTCTTTTATGGGTCTTCAAAGTAATCGGTAAGTAACTCTACTATGCTAAGGGGAAAATGGGGAAAGATTTTTTGGGGAAGGTAGCTTCACTAGTTCATGAAAATCCGGAACGAGAAAAAGAAATCAATCAGGCGAGAAAGAAACGAGTCCTGTCGACATACTAGCCAATACCCTTGTTGAATTGCAGTGCGTGAAAGAAAGTGATCGAAACGTCAGTGTGCATTGGTTTAGGAAATGAGTCTCGTAGAGGTGGTCGGGCGAAAGAAACTGCCAAGAGAAACATGTCGATTTATGAGGGTGGCCAAGGACTGGTAGCCATGGAAGGAAGAATGGACTCTTTTGTGACTTTTGGATGGAGAAGTAGACACTGTTTTCCCTTGTGTTGGAAAATTTCAGGTGGGATGAATGTTTGTTGAGTTACTGTAACGATTGAAGTCTTCTGTATATACAGAGTAGGTTGCCTTTGTTTCGAGTTGAACTTCAAAGTGGTGGTAAGCGCGAATCATTTTTGTACGAGATGTAGTGTACATTGTTTTACGAAGATAGCAATTGCAATGTTGTAATGTCTTCTAACAGCCAAATGGACTTGTTTGATTTGCACTTAAGACGAGGGATGAGTTAAATGTTCCTTATTGTTGTTAATTTCCATTTGATGTCTCTTAACTTCATGTATCAAGTGATGCCATGATCGCAGTAATTCACATCACTCTTGCATAGTGATTTGAACTCGATACAGGATACAGGCGCATTTACTTTGCGCTAACCTTATCTATTTCCTGATTAACATGAATCAACAAATGATGTTATGATCATACAAAACAACTCTTATAAATGATTATCAAGATATTGATTCACGTTACATCGACTAACGTATTAAAGACCACAACAAAAGGCATGAGCGAAAAAAGACGCTTGTGCATGTTAAGAACTAATCTCAATCCTAGGAATTCCCTAATCCTGCTTCGGGTTCAAATGTGGAGGAGATGAAGAGGGTCGCCTCTCTGCAAGCATCCTCTTTGTGCTCTCCAATACACCGAAAAAGATCGAACCCCCAATTCCTATCCACATCACCCTTGGCCCTATGCCCTGCAGAATGAAGATGAGTGATATGAAGAAATTGTCGCGGGGTAAGCGGGGGCAAAGGATCTTCCTTTATTTAGCTTCAGTCCTTATTCCGTAATCAACTATCATCAAAACAAAGCTCGAAGATAGATTGATGCACCTTAAGAAGTGCAGCAGGTCCTTCCTCCCTAATGACAGTTTGAACACAATCCACCACTCCTTTGTACTGGTTTGCTGATCCCTGTGGTGTTGTTTACAGACAAATTCGAATACAAAAACAAAAACAACATTGAATATCGGTTCCACATCTTCCCAGGAACAAATAAAAAAGGAAAACAACATTGAATAGAATGCACTTTTGATTTGACTTTGGTACTCACTTTTCCTTCCTTTCAATTGGGTTTCGATTCCATAGATATTCATATTCTTAATTCTCAATACCTTGTACTTTCCAAAGCCTAATCTAGGAAATGGCACAGAAAGTTAAGAAGAGTGCAGGGAGCAGGTAACCTGAATCATTAGTCTTGTCTTAATCACATCAAGTGGAGTAGTCACTGCTCCAGTTAGCGCACCTACAGAAGCGGGGAAGAAATTTAGAATTGCACATCTTTAAGGTGGAAATGTGGGATACCGGGTTGCAAATTGCAATCAATATACTCAAAAGTTACCAGCAAAAGCGCCAATCACAGCATTCTCGGCGTCATTGAGATCTCTTCGTGCCTGGTAAGAGAGTGAGAAGACACAGGTGTATTAATTATGTTTGTGACAAGAACAACAAGAAACCAAGACATGTTGTGGAACATACTGCTACTTTGTAACCGATCCGTAGCTGCTCGTAAATGCAAAACTGAATAGCATCAAATGGCAGATCACGCAATAAGAATGATCCATATCCCTGCGTTAAACAAATGAGCAATGAATCGTAAATTACTAGGAATAATTTTAAAGTGGAATGGGTATTATAAATGAAAATACAGGAAAGAATAGCCTAATGTACCCTAAAGAAGACTCTTTTCAACTTGCCATAGGCTAAAGAAAGATTATTCTCGGCACAGATCCATCGTTAAGAAATGACAGTCTACATTTTGACAGAAACATGACCAAGTTCAGATTACATACCGCATAGAGACCCTTAAATCCCTCCTTTGAGACAATGAGCCGGACAGCATTCGGAGCAGAGGAAAATTGCCCCGTTTGCATCCTTGTTTTAACAACCTGAGGATTGAGAAAATCTATATCATTATCTCATAGATGATTGCAAATCTGTGAACAAGAATTAGAAAAATGCTTAGAAAACTATACCTCTGTTGGTACACGAACAAAAGAAGCAGCAAGCCCTCCTATGGCACCTGCAGTCTGCATTAAGTGCATTACATAACACAATAAGTATAGCTTGTCATAGTCATGTAACTTAAGCCATATTAGACCCAAGAGGATACCATATTTTTCAGATTGTTAACCTGCTTAATATATTGACTTGCACAACTGAAAGTGAAAGTAACGTAGATTACTAAGCAGAAGCCGAATCAAACATCTTGTGCAATAGCTGAAAAAGCAGATCTTACTAGATGAGCAAAAGCACTAAGATTTTCAGGAAAAACTTTCAATAACTTCTGTTTCGCTGGCTCATATACTCCGACAAACAAAGCAGAAGCCCTGCACACAATACAAGAAAGCCTACATCAATCCCAAACTGTCAGCAGGAAAATCGATGAGCATGAGGAGACAGCTACTGGAAAGGAATTATTCAGAAAATTATACCGAGAAACAAATGCTTCAGAGAGAAAAGAAAGCAAAAATAAAGTTAAATTTACTGATCTGACACATGTAAGATTATCTAACTTCCTACACTAGCTACATTGTTCAATCAATTGCCGAAGGGCGAAGATCACAAAGAACGAGCTTTGAAAATGCAAGCCAAACTTACGGTAGGACGCCGGCAATATTTCCAGCCAAGCCAGAGTAAAGACCCTTCCAGGCTATTTGTCCACCACCACGAGCTGCCTGTAATATATAAAAAAAAAACACACACAAAAACCTCAGCAAATCCCTATACTTAACCATCACTTCCAATTACTGAATCACGCCCACATTCACAAGCAATCATATCCCGACTAATCAATCTCCACACATTTGCTATGGAAGGTTAATCTTGCTGAAGGAATCATGCTCCACAGTATACAAAAATGAAGCTAAATCCGAAACAAATAACGAATCACTCCTCCGCAAACTAGAAGCACAACAACTTAACCTGCCTGCAACCTTGTCTTGATAGTATCAATGGGATACAATGCCGTCTCAACTACTACACCAGCAGTACCTCCCGCAATTACTCCTTCTGCAACATTTTTGCACCAGGGCAGTAGCCAGGCATGCATCAGAAACCACGCCATTGATTTAGCTCTATCGCAACAATTTTGAGCACACACGATGTTACTGAACATACCAAACACAGTTCGCAAGAAATCAAACGGCTTCTCCTCTTCTCCTCTAGTGCTGAGCGAGGCGAAAGGCTTGCTGCGGGTTTCGAGCTGAGCGATGTGCATTTTCCCGCCTGAGAAATCCAGAGGGTTCAGGAAACCGACAAATTCGAGTTCGAGCTCTCGAAACGCCATTTTCATAGGCGAAAATTGAGTTTTCGGCTTACCGGAAGCAGTCTTCGTTGTTGTATCCACGGCTAGCGTGAGAGGAGCCATGGTTTTCAAAGCTGCTTCGATGCTCGAGTGGAGAGTGTTTTCTCTCCGGAGAATCGAGTGTGAGAGGAGAGGAGGTGATGAGCTCGGCGGAAGGATGACCGGTGATTTCGCCGGCTAATCTGGTCGGCGCCGACTGGTAGATATCTCTCTCTGGCGAACGGAGAGCGATAGGGTGGATATAGTTCAGACCGAAAGCGTTAGTGGGCCGCCCGGTTTTCTTCGTCTATTGGTGGATCTTGGCCCAAATCTGATTGTGAACTTGGGCGGCTCAAATCAAATCGTGTTGGAAAAAAAAAAAACAAATCGTGTCATGGCCAAAATTAATATTAAATTTTTCTAGTAACTAAATATGACACGATTTAGTAATCTCAGTGACCAAATATGTCATTTACCCCAAATCAATCGATATTGTCTACTGTTTGTCTAGTGTACAAGTTGTGTATCATTCTTTAATCGGTTGGTCTAATTTGTGAAGGATTTAATTTTTTTTTATTATAGAAAATGAAACGCTTAAAAGGCATCCGAATCTTTATGCATCAAATCAAACAGGGCGTTTGAGCCTCCACCAGATCAAACTATAGCCAATACAAGAGCATACAATTCGGTACATCAAAAGTATGTATCCCTAAGGGAGTGCCCCCATAGAGGCAAGATAGTCAGCTACATAGTTCGCCTCACAATAAACACGCTCTATCCTAACTTGCCAAGGTCTGTCGATCCAATGTCTGATATCTGCAGCACTCGCATAATGTGGACTGGTAGGCGGTGGGGTTGTGGAGTGGGCGGAGGGATGGCAGCTAGGAAGATGGGTTGTGGTAGGGTTGAGTATACCATAAAGAGTAATTACGTGTGAAATTTTTTTCATTTCCAAAATTAATCTTAATTTCATTTTTACCGTCAATTTAAAGGTAGGCGGTGGGGTTGTGGGGTGGGTGAAATTAATCTTAATTTCATTTTTTATAGCCACCGTAATTACTCAAAATTGTCGAGCATTGCCCAAATGTGAAGTGGCCATTTATGTTTAGGAAACAAGCCAAAAGTTGTTGCCTTTAGCCTTTAGGGACTTGGAGTCTACCACGTACTATCATTGGAAGTAACATGTGTACAAGATAGTTTTTTGTTGTATATCTTAATTTGACATGATGGGACTTTTGTACAAAATAGAGCACCACAAAAGATTGATCATTGATATTCTACACATCAAAAGCTATCATCAATGATTGATGTTGGACACGATGAGAATCATAAATTATTTTTGTGGTGAAAACGTTTGATTTCAAGATAAATGTTGATGCGACTTGTTTAGAAGGGCAAGGAACACGGCTTGGTGTTGTAATGAGAGATAAGGAGAACCACAAACATTGTTACTACTTTCAACGATAAACCTCACTGTTGCTTCCAATTCGTCGTCATCGCCCAATGTTGTTGTGACTGGGGTTGGGGTGAACTGGGGCAGCATTGCGTCCCCCAACATCGTGGTACATATGTTGAAAGACAATGGATTCAAGAAGGTAAAATTGTTCGATAGAGTCGGATTCTTACATCGTGGTCAAGAGCAACATGACAGGACGATGGTCAAGAGCAACATACCGCGTAGATTTTGAGCGACAAACAGAGGATAAGCGGCCACCGACCGTGGTAGATTAGTTGCGGGCCTCCTGGCGTTGTTGTTCACGTTGTAAGGTCCAAGGAGACCAAGACGACATCGTTAATTGATACATCTTTAGGCGTAATTGTTTTGTTGGTTGGAGCAATGCAATGCAAAGTGATATCAATTTCGACCCGATTCTGTGTTACGATATGAGTGGATCTGTCTTGACATTTATGGGCCGTCCGATCTCGCATCTCATCCAAGCGTTGTTGTTGAATTTGTACGTCTACTGTCTACAGAATCTAACCCCTTCTTTGTGGAACTGGAAGATAGACAGAGAAAAGAGAGGAATCAAATAGGTAAGGTAGCGAGGTAGGTAACTCCGAAGCTTTGGCGGGGGTCACGTTATTCGCAAAGCCCTGTTTTTGTTTCTTTGTGGCCAACAAATTCCCCCCGCAGAAGAGAAAGGACGGCCAGTAACGTCGCCTTCTTCTTCTTCTTCTTCCCCACACAGTACTCGCTACTCAGTATTCACAAGCAAGTTCATATATTGTGAACTGCCTCGCCATTTTTTATACAGGCGGAGGCCGCAGCCTCACGCTTTCAGACGGAATCTGCTTCCCGTTTCGTCAGCTCTTTCAGGTTCTTTCATCCGATTCCCCCTCATTTCTTTTGCTGCTGCAATGGGGAATCTGCTCTAGTTTCTCTTGTTTGTTTCTCTGCTCCAGTTTTTTTGGGGATTTGGGTTGTTAATTCTTTTTTGGTTTTGTTCTATCGAGCCTGTGCTCTTTATCAAGTTTTGACTTGAGCTTTTTGCTTTTGCATTTCGATTGAGTTTGGGTTGTTTTTTTTTTACCAAGAAGTTTGGGTTGTTTGATCCGAAAGAAAGTTGCAGTCTTTTTTCTGGTTTTCTAGCTGTTCATTTGTATTCTTGCTCTTTATCAAGTTTTGACTTGAGCTTTTTGCTTTTGCATTTCGATTGAGTTCGGGTTGTTTGATCCGAAAGAAAGTTGCAGTCTTTTTTCTGGTTTTCTAGCTGTTCATTTGTATTCTTGCTTTGTGGTTATGTTCCTGACCATCCTGTTCATTCTAGCAAGTCAATAACTCAGATTTGTACTCTTGTGATCACCAGGGTAGGTTTTTCGACCATTAAAACTGCCTCCTGATCCGGAAAGGGAGGAAAAAAGAAATGGATAAAGCTAATGAGAGGGCCAGTGGGTTGCTAGGCAGATTAAGTGGTTTCATGAGGAGTTGCCTCTTCAAGGTCCTCTGCATGGGTCCAATCCCAACCCATTTCTCCTTCATAATGGATGGCAACCGCCGTTATGCCAAGAAGATGGACATGGGGGAAGGAGCTGGTCACAGGGCAGGGTTCTTCGCTCTGGTCTCGGTGCTCAAATACTGCTACGAAGTTGGAGTGAAGTACATCTCCGTCTATGCCTTCAGCATCGACAACTTCAAGAGGCGCCCCGAGGAAGTCAAGACCATAATGGACTTGATCCTGGAGAAGACCGAGGGGCTTCTCGAGGAAGGCAGCATTGCAGACCAGTACGGCGTGAGGGTTTACTTTGTTGGCAACTTGAAGCTGTTGAGCGAGCAAGTGAGGATTGCAGCGGAGAAAGTTATGGAGGCTACTGCACATAACACCAGGTGTGTGCTCTTGATCTGCATAGCATACACTTCTTGTGATGAGATTGTGAATTCGGTTAGGGAGTGTTGTAAGGATAAGATGGAGGAGATCGAAGACGAAGAGGGCGATGATGGTAGGGTGGTGAACGAGCATTCGGCTATACAGTTGGTGGACATTGAGAAGCACATGTATATGGGAGTAGCTCCTGACCCTGATATCTTGTTGAGGAGTTCTGGGGAGAAGAGGTTGAGCAATTATCAGCTATGGCAGACCACTCATTGCACACTGTATTCGCCCACAGCGTTGTGGCCTGAGATTAGTCTGTTGCATGTGGTGTGGGGAATTCTGAAGTTCCAACGTAGTTATGCCTACTTCGAAAAGAAGAAGAAGAAGATGTTATAAGATTATGGAAGGCCCAGAGAGAGGGGGGAGGGTCACCTAATTGTGTTGTAAGCTTGTTCAAAAAGCTTTGTTGCTTCTTTACAGGTAAAAGAGTGCTCATGGTTTGCATTCTGCATATAGACAGTTTCTATAGATGACCACTGAATCATGGTTGAGTTGAAGTTATATATATGTGATGATAATAACATCCGTGTTCCTATGCTTATATTGTAATAATGGCCGAGATTATTTAAGGTATCAAATTGAGATTTGGTTTCTGCTCAGCTTCCAGTCTTTTGTAGCCATTCTGGTCTGGATTGTTCAACTCTCTCATTTGATCATTTGGCTTCATTTTTACCCTTCTCCTGATGGCTTCTAGTCCGTTAATATAGCTCAACTTTGAGGCAACTATTATAATTAGTATGTCCTTGATGACTAAAGTGTCATGTGTGTTGAAAATCTGGTCTCCTAACTAATTCGGATACCAAATAACGAATGCGTCGTAAAAAATGCTAGGAAATTTGAGGTCGAGGGGCAAAAGAACTAAACAAGACCTTTCAACATACATGGTATCTGGATCATATAAAGCTAATCATAGCAGATTTAGACAGAATGTTTAACGGATAGACTAAAAATAGATAAGCAACATACTACATGAATTTGTTCATTGGAAGTCATATTTTTGTTTAATAACACAATGTGCTTATTATAATCACATAATACAGGGATTGGTAGAACAATCGTTCAGCAATCTCAAAACTATGCCGGATAAATGAACAGGACGGATACTATACAGTGTGCATCAATCCTACACGTTTAGAATACAAAGTATTAGTTTTTCTTGTATTTATATTCTAACTAATGTGACACATGATTTCTCATAGAAGAGAGATAGAGAGAGAAGTTGTGCAGATCATCTCATTCTCTGCATGCCTGCAACTGCTAAGTTCACTTGAACCTGTCTAAGGTTGAGCATATAAGAAGTAAAGAAAGTAGTGCTTCAAACTTTGGCATTTACCTAATTAGAGGCCAACTTCAGGTCTCTAACATCAATCGCCGAATGCAAAGCTGACCCATCTGGGATTCCTAGTGGAGGATCATGGCATGAACAGTTATCCACTTCAAAAAGCTCCCATTCTTTGATCCCACATTTCTCCAAGGCAGAAGCTACTCTCTTGCGCTCCTTCTCACTCGGAAACCGTCCATCTGGACTAACGAGAACTGCGCCAGTATATGATTGACCAGCAACTCGAGCAGCACCCTTGTAATGAAACAACCCCCAGGTCAGCTCATCACATACATCCACAATCGTCCAGAACTCATTCGATACAACCCCATTGTCCAACACGCTGAAGTTGAATGTTCCAGGAAGTTTGTCTCTCTTGACTCGATACTTTCTCCTTCTCCACACCATGGCCCCTCCTTCCAAGGTCTTCACCTGGAAAACTGGTTCATACCAGAATGACCCTTTGGCCTTCCCTCTGTAGAACAACTGATACTGACATGGGAACTGATCATATGCTGGGTTCTGACCAGCGACGACTCTCCAACTCCACTCCAATTTCCCTAACCAACCCACAAAGAGATCCTCGGCTATCTCATGAGTCATCTCCTGCCCACGAAACGCGGCCATGGGGTCAACACTAGGCTTTTCAGGGATCTTGGCATCTAATTCAAGACAGTTGTGCTTCTGCAGCACACAAAGCGAGAATGCCTCGAGCTTGGGGCTCTCGTACGAGGCGATGCACCGATAGTTACAAACCTGATCCACGGGGCTACAACGGTTGAGGCACTGCAGAGCTTTCCTGCAGTTAGGATCAAACAAGCAATCCAATATCTGAGATCCACAATTCTTAACCATGCAGGTTAGTGTCGAAAACCCTTTTGATCTCAAGTTCTTGAGGATTGGAACCGGCCGTATGTATGCATTGATGACCACCAACAAACAGAATCTTATATCATCCGTGTTATGCCTGCTCCATGCTTCGGCCACAGTCTCCACAACGTCCTTCGATTCCTTCTGTACATCAGTTCCACCAAGCTTGTTCACCAGCTTCGAAGAGGAATCGAAACAGATTACGTTGGGTACAAGTTTGCCCTTGTTCTGAATCCAATCTATCGATGCTTGATTTGTTACAGCAACTACAAGCAATATATCAGCACTTTCCAATTCCGTTTCTAGAATCTTGGTGCGGCCAGCATCAGATTCCTCCAACTCGTCAGTGAAAACTAGCATTTCGTAAGCTTCATCGACCCATTTCAATCTCTTCGCCTGTTTCACAAACCCAAACCCCAAAATTTTCAAAATCTGAAGCAAAAACCCCCGAAGTTTAAAACCATCACAAGAAATTCCCCAAAATGATTCTTACAGTGTGCAGCATGACTTCTTCCCAAGTAGCGGACTTGAGCGGGCTGACGCTTCCCCCTCCTACGACGGCCACGATTTTCACCGGCGACCCAGGTGGCGGATCCACCGTCTCTTGAGCCTCCTGCTCGAGAATGGCGGGAATTTTGGTCGGTCTCCCGCGGAAATCGGTCGTTGTAGCGGGAAGGAAAGATGGAGGGGAGGAAACGAGCCGGAGAAGCTGGGATGGATGACAATGGGGAAATCTGACAGACGGGAACCGGCAGGAACCCACTACGGCGGAGAAGGAGCTCCGTCGGAGCAGAAACGGAGAGGGGAAATGGCGGCGGAGGTGCGTCGGAGATGCTTCCGGAGACATCCTGATAGAACAGATGGATAGCAAAGAGTAACAGAGTTCGTTGGAAGAATCCCCGCCAACAAAACCAACTCTCCTTAGCCTCTTATTGGGCCCAACAGAAATTCCGGAGATGAATGGGCTTGGGCCAAGGAGATCAACCCATTGACTAGAGGCCCAAGACCACTTCAGGGCAGCATAGTAAAAAAAAAAAAAACACCATAGTAAAAACAGAGAAATCGCAAGTTTGTTACTGGAATCGTTCAGCTAAAAACAAGCTGTTAGATTTTCTTTTGAAGAGATCTCATCTTCCCCACAGGAACCAGAGGAAAGGTTAAAAAAAAAATTACGTAACAGTGAAAAAAAAAGGTGGACGGAAAGATGGCGTCGGCCGGAGCAGCGGGGCCGTTCTGGAGAGCGGCGGGGATGACGTACGTGAGCTACTCGAACAAGTGCGCGAGCATGGTGAGGAATTGCCTCAAGGAGCCTCACCGGAGTGAAGCGCTGGATCGGGAGAAGGTTCATTTCTCCATCTCCAAATGGATCGACGGAAAGCCCGAGAAACCTTGTAAATTTTTAATTTTTTTTTTACTCTCTTCTCCTCCCTTCTTCCTTCTTGGATTCTTGTTTATCGAATAACGAATTGGTTTGGTACGTGCCAGAATACTCTGATCTCTTGGAAGCGGACATTTAGTCGTGTTTGACTGTTTGTTGTGTTCTTGTGGTGAAATATTATTGTTGACTTGTTTTCTTGTGTTTTTTTGTTTATAGTGATTCGGGAGGGTACCGGTGGAGATTGACTCGAGTTCCTTGGAAGAATTTGAACTGGCAATCGAATTAAACGTTTTGTTTTAGTTTGAGATATTCACTTGCAAATAATGATGTGAAATGTTCTTTCATTCATTTACGTAGTTGCATGTTTCTCGATCAATTGTGTTGGAATTTTGTGATTCTTTTGTTTTATGAAATTGAATTTTCGGTTCTATAAACACTACCAACCCCAGATGATCTAGATCTGAATCAAATTTGTTCTCTTGAGTTGCTAGAAATGAGATCTTCATTGTTAAACCCCAAAACATTAATGGTTAAATTGATGTTTCATTATGATCTATGTGTTTGTTAATTCATTCATACCCTCGCGAGAATGCTAACTCATCTAATCGACCCGTTATTGTTAGGATTTCATCATTTATTATCTCGCGAATTTGTTACCATACCTTGAATCGTTTCATATTACCGATTACCCGTATCGGTTGAATCAAGTACCATAGTCAATGAAGAGAGCACAACATGCAGTAGAACGTGTCAAAAATAACAAGTCGAAACCATAGAAGAAACGAATGCTACTGAAAATTTCGATTAGCTTTGTGTAAAAAGTAATAACAGAGAGACAAAAGATTACATGCCAAAATCATAAACTGGTGTGTAATAATTTCCGAGTGGGTGGAACAAAATTACAGCTTTTTTCCTCCCCACAATAGAAAGAAATAAATTACTATAGCAACAAAAAAAGAATCGATCACTCAAAGACAGATGCGGCAAAAGCTTGTGTGATCTGTGGTATAGTAAAGATATCAGTTTCCTCCTCCTCAAAAAAAGATAACCTTCTGTTTGGTTGATCCCTCCATAAGACCAGAGAATGGAAGAGAGAGCACTCGCCTCTCATACCTTCTCTTCAGCTTCCTCGGTGGCCTCCACGGGATCTTCGTGCTTCTCGGCCTTGCTGCCGCCGTTCATGGACAGACTGCGGCGCTCTTTCCCTCCGGGCCTAGCAGAGGCGTTGCCGTACCAGACCATCCCAGCCACGGCGATGATCATCCCGAAGATGACATGGAGGTTCAGGCCGTCTTTCCCGAAGAAGATGAATCCCAGGATCAGGACGAGGATGGTCTTCATGTGGCCCAGCACTTGGAATGACACGGCGGTGAACCTGCCGATGCAGATGAACTGGCTCAGGTTCGTACCGACGGCAATGCTGCAGGACAGGACTATGAACGCCTGCACCAGGATAACACAAAAAGAGGAAGACAGATCAGATTCCCTCCTGGAACATGGGAAACAAACTTGACGGGTCATCACTCATTAGGATGTGCAAGTAAGAATGTATTCTGGAAAACACATGGGGAGCTGAAATACGTGTTTTTTTCTTTTGTATCGGATTGGGCCAACAACAAATGATGAGTAGTCAGAAACCATGCATACTTGGAATTACAGAATAATCCCAGGATACCTAAAGAACCTCTGAAACTGTATGCGTGAAGAGCAATGACCATCTATTGCTTGGTTTCGTCAGGACTAAATGTTATGTAGCTTCAGGAAAGAGAGTATAGATAATGATGGTTCTCTAGAAGGGAAGGTATTTGTTCGTGCAGGTGTAATGCGCCCATCTAGAAGAAGTCGGGAAGGCCGAAGGTATGATATGACTACACTGACATGCAAATGTAGCTTCAGGAGAGAGAGTAGAATGGTTACAGGGAAGCAAGTCCTTGATTCAGGAACTGAAACGGGAACAACTCACCACAGATGTGAAACTGAATGGATAAGCGTCAACTCGTTTACTCGTCAAAAAGTAGTCCACAAAGGGCCCCACTAGCAGCAGAGATGAAGCTTGAGCTGGAGCAGTATGCCCCAACAAGTTGAAAGAACCTAGATTGTACCTCCGTTGTAGATAGTGTACATACTGCATGATAAAGGAAAGAATACGACTGTTACAATTCTAGATCATCAAGCAAAAACAACCCTGGACTAACAAAAGTCGGCCAGTAGTTCAGCCAAAGTCTGAGATAAGCCATCTTGAGTACGAGCAGCTACTTACATATTGCTGCAGTGCAGTGCTCCAAACTGCTATCAAGGCAGCTATGAACCCCTTGGCGTTAACGCTTACATCTGTAACAGTGCAAACAGCAACTCCGAGAAGGACTACCAAGATGCTTAGCTTGGTATCTCTTGAATACCGGACCTTATCCAAGACAACTTCCAGAAAACATGAGACTGGGATCATGCTTAGCTTTGCTATCTGACAAGTTCCAAAAGAAACCGAGAACCTTATTAGCTTCTAAAAATCCACAGAAGGAGAGAGAGCACATAGTTTAGTAGTTCAACAAAGCCTCACCTGATAAAATCCAACCGAGTTCCACATTAGACTCACGTTCATACCAACAATGGAGAAGTTTGCAAAGAAAACAAACTTCAATAGGTCTCCTAATGGTAAATGAGAGGGCTGGATGTATCCCAACCATCTTAGAACAAGAGTTAACAAGGTCGTTGTGGCAAAATGGAGACCGGTTAGCGTTGTTGCTGCAAGCCATACCAAATTGAATAAAAAACATCAGACCCTGTGCAAACAGACTAACAAGTTTCGCAAATGAAATAAGCATCAATAGATAAAAGTCCGTCATAAACTGAGAAATACAGAAAGAGACAGTTGCAGAGTTCAAGCAAAACAACCCCCCGGCAAAGAAAGCACGGTTCTTTTTCACTCAACTGAGAGAAAGCAAACTCTCTTGGCATTCAGCATTAAGAAGCAAGGCAGCAGCAACAAACTTACCAAAGCTAAAGCCATAGGTAGCCATGAGAGCTTTATTGACGATGATAATTCCAACAGAAGTGACGACATTGAACATCCATGAAGCTGCATCGAGAGATGCCTTCTTATCAGCTTTGCTTGGCGAAGACATCCTCTCTCACTCCTTCTATAACACCCGTAAAACCTTTATGGATGCTCGACGAAATTCCTCAGTCACAACAGATCGCTCTTCATGAGACTACGAGCTCGAATGTGTTTGAAAAGATACCGCAGCAGAGTATCTGCATTCACAAGACAAAGTCACCATCTGAATTCCAAGACATTCGGATTTGAATCTTAGATTCAATCAAGGCTTCTTTTTAAGTAGTAGTAGTGATTGATCATGAAAAGGGTCCATAAAAAGAAAGAACTCCACACGAACACGCAAATCTACAGAGTCCTGAACCGGATCGCCATCGGAGAACTCCGGCAAATTAAATAAAACCCTAACAGATCAATTTTTTTACCAGCGGAAAACGCTTAGAGAAGAAACACCAAACGCAAGTGGAAACCGAAATACCTCATCTGAACAAATTTAAACGGAGCAGATTAGGAGTGAAGAAAAAACGCAAGCAAATCAAGCAGGGAGAACTCAATCCTCCAGGGAAGACGCAAGCAAATCAAACAGAAAGATTTATCGATCTGCCATCAGAATCGCCAGCTGAAGCTCCGAGATCGATCGCGAGAGATCAGAGTACATTTTCCCAGCTGAGAAGAAGCAGATCCATCACTCGCCGGCGGCGGCACAGCAGTAGCAAAAAAAAAAACAGGAAGTAGTACGGAGCTGAATCCGAAATCCAGCCGCCGGGGAGAACTCTACACATCTCGATTTCAACAACAACACGGAGATGCGAAACGGAAACGCTAGCAGAGATCGCAAACATCCAGAGAAAACGCCGAGAAGGAGAAAGTTACTGAAGACGTAGAGGACGCACCTTTCCGGCGAATTTGGAAGCTGAAACACAGCAGTAGGTAGCTTTTTTTAGCTCCCCCGAGTAGCCGCCGAAAGCGGAAAACCCCTCCGTTTACCGTTCTGGTTCTGAAATTTTCCCCGGGAAACAAACGGAAAGGGCAATGCGATTGCGCGGAGAATTCAGGACGACGGGGTTTGACAAGGGAAGGAAATGGAGAAGCCTCGGGATTGACGGAGAAGGTGGGATCGAGATGGAGGCAGAAGAAGAAGAAATCGCATGGAGAATGAGAGAAAGAAGAGAAGAGAATGTTTTAAAGAGGAAGAGAAAAGGAAAGAATAAAAACAGCAACAAAAAAGGAGTGGAAAAAAATCAAAATCCCAGCAGTTATGGTAATTCAAGGAGAAAAATCATTGATGAGTGAAGTTTCACTTTCGCCATTAATCCCACACAAACAACATTTGTGGCATAGTAGTGTATTGACGGTTGGATCGCAAATATTGTTCATCATCGAACGTAATGAAGAGTTGTTCCTATTAATCGATAATTCGATATAATGCAGTCGATTTGTCTAATTATAATATTGATTGATTTTGTTGGATTTGATCGACTGTTGTATTGGTAAATTATCGATTGGATGTATTATCTCAACACTCATTGCATATCAAATTATCATTGTGTTACTAAATATCATTTCAGCTAACCTATTTGATAAAAAAAACTTCGATATTCTTTCACCATCATTGGCTTCGATGAAATCATTGTTCTTTTCTAAGTAATCAAATTGGGTATAATTAGAAACAACAAAATTGGAATTTTTTGTGAATTTGATAACGGATACGTTTCATGCCAAACGTTTTTGGTATGTATTTGTATCATTGTCATCTTTTGAGGAGGAAAAATCAGATACCAAAAAGAATATTCCTCCCGAAATACAAATTTTAGCTTTACATATTGTTTTTAATTATTTTATGTTTTGTGTTCTGTTATGAAGCATTGTTGCTTAAGTCGAAAACAAAACTTTCGAAAGATGTTGGTGTCAATGTTCAAATCCAATAGTAACTCTCAAATTTCATATGTTAAGGGGGAAAATAATCATAAGGAATTTGACAACCTACAAATATTTTGATGATATATTCCTTTTTGAGAAAAAATATTTCCTTTTGGTTAGATTCGATTTTAGTGCAAGCAAAACTTAAAACAATATAATGATCTAGTTTAACGATAAAGTTATCCCCGCTTGTGATCTGTAAACTAGTTTGTCTGATTGTAGAGTCTTTGAGGTGGAAAAGATACATCGATTAGATCGGACAAAAATCACCTTAATGGAAAGAATTCATATTAAGGATTTCATTATAATATGTTGAACCAAATAAGGTGTTGACGACCGTCAAACACTTGATAAAGATAAATGCTTTGATTCTAAAGTCGACAACAATTACTTTTGCTTCACTAATTTCGTCGATCAAACAAATAAGGGAACTAGAAACGCCATCATCTTTTTGTGACTGGCCCTTTTATATGACGACTCCCTAAGTTGCGAGATGTATGTTGTATGCAGGAAATATCTGTCATACTGAATCTCATATTAGAATCACCAGGTAGTGTATGAACGCTAGCGGGTCACCAGTTAAGTTAAGGGTTTAGAAGTTCTTGGTCCTATATATATATATATATGCTCAAGTTCATTTGATGAAGAAATGCCCATTATTAGTTAGATCCTAGATCCCAAATTGAATCATTTGCCCTTCCAAAACCAACACTAAAAAATATGGTATCAGCTTTCTTTATGACGCTCTTGATTATCAAGATAAAGTTTTAATCTCCAGTTAAAGCTCAAATTTGAACCAAATAATGACCCAATAGCCAATGGGGATTATTGTGACTCTTTAATTGGCAGTATTATCCCATGTTACTATTCAACAGCACAGTACATTTCCATCTATATGATTTTACTGTTTTAACTGAATCTCCATGAGAAACAAATAACCATTCTCAATGTGTATTAAATAGAGGGAAAGAATTGAATGCGTTTATAAAATATGATCATGTCCACATGGAAGTTTCACTTTCACATGGCCACGTGTCACATATATTCGATGTGAATGTGATTTGGATTTACGATTGATCTTCTCAACTTCCCTTAGCTTGATGGATGCTTATGAATTGGTGAAAATGCAATTTCCTTAACACATTGTAACAAACGTGGATTGGAGAATGTCATTTCCTTTTCATGAGCCACTTTCTTGTTTCTAATTCTCCCATGAATATGCATTTTTATGTGTAGACGTGATTGGATCTGTCGACCCATTCTGGAAACATGCACTCTTTGTGGATGTGATCCTCAACGACAAGGATGAGGCTCATCGTCTCTTAATTTTATTTCATCAGTTCATTGGAAGTGAAACCGACAATGTTTAGATACGCGTTAGTACAAGAACGAATCTCGATCATTAGGTCGGATGAGAAAAAATATAGATACGGAGCTACCTAAATAGGGGGGGGGGTTTAAGCAAAATTCATCAATAGGGTAGAGAGGAGAGGAGCCTTTTTTATACAGGATTGTTCCTGGGTTCTTGGATTGAGCTAAATTGAACAGGGTGGATGTCGTACACTAACGATTTTTAGGCCTTCTAAGCGTCAATACTTTGCAGGGCTTGACTCCTTTCGAATGAGCGCTCGTGATTTTTGACACGATGGACATGGATCTAAAGACAACTGTTTACAATCTCGGTAAGGCAAGAGGTTGGATCAATAAATAAGTTCTATACAAGTCAAAGTGAATAAGCTAGATCCCGATAATATATAAGAAAATAGAACACATCAAAATTTCTGGAAAAAAAGAGAAGCTTACATTCTTGAAATGAAGGAAACAAATTAATCACACATGCACTACCTTAAAATTATCTTTAAGTTACAATTAACTTGGCAACCACGTAAAGGGTTGAAAGTGATTTTTTTAACAATTGAGCATAACCTTGTAATACTACTCTAATTACCTACATGCACCATATAATTAAAGAACTGTTGATTTAACGTTCTTTGTTTTGGTGATATTTTGGAGCTCAATTTCGTTGCCAAGAAAGCTCAGTTTTTGGCTTTTTAGGCAGGTCGATTGTGGGGTTATTTCTTCTTGGAACATTTCCTCATATATGTGTCGCAACGCTCAATCATATGGGACAATTGGACAAAGGGAGGAAAGTTCAAATGACATGATGGTTAGTCGGATTGATGATAAAATGATTAACGCATGACAATACTTTTGATGGTATGTCATTACAATAATGTACATCTAACACAAATTTTATTCCGAGTCAGAATGACTGTTACACCCATACCAAGAATTTTGATGTGTACGATCAAGACTATCCTCCTCTTTTCGAAATTCGACAAATTCACCACGAGAGTGTTATTCAATCTTATTATACGCCTTTCTTTACTAGCACTATAGAGATCAAATATGGGGTTTGAGATCGAATCAATATTAGAGCTCTCTGGGTCTATACTTCAGTATGGTCGTGGAGAGATGTACGCACGACTTGGATATACGGAGGGTCATGATCTCCATCCTCAAGGTCAACTCCCAAAATTAGGGCAACAACGATTTCTCATCACTCTACCGCGACAAGAGCATATTGGATTGTGCTTTCTTTATCTAGATATCTTCGGATTTTCCCAATTCAGTCAATATTCTCGAAGTCATTTTTGAAAGTATAATTATTTTTCGGTAAATTTCAATCCAAACCCATAATCGCAGATCCGATGCCATGTGTCAAGATGTTGAAAAGAGAACCTATTGCTGTGAACCCAAGATTTGGAGGGTACTCCAAATGTCCATAGCTAGATTCATGCATGCAATAAAAAATAGGGATTTGGTATGCGTCGAGCCGTCGACTCTTCTCAGACTTGCAGTCTTATTGGCCGTTGACCTTTCGTCCGGCTTTTGCTCTGTATGATATATTTAAGTTCATTTTCCCCCAATTAATCAACAAGAAAAGCTTGGCCACAATCACAATTAATCAAATCAAAGCCAACAATTAAGGTTGACACAAGGCAAGGGTGTGATTAGGCGGCAAACTATGGTGCATGTATTCGTTGATTAATTATCTTATTTCCAACTTAATTTGCGCACAAACAAAGTGCTGACTGCCGACTTGTATATGCATTTCTTTATCAAGGGGGAATCCCAAACGCATAGTATAGAGACCCATCACTTGTAAGAGCGACTCTACTCGTAGCGGTAGTTTGTAAGTAACCGAAATGAAATATATTTTGTTATTATATGGACAATTTTATGGAAACTCTGAGAAATAAAGAAATACAACACGAATTTAAAAGACGAGTAACATGAACAAACTTCCTGTAAGATGGGCCCTACCAGCAAGTGGGGAGTCTTCTTGAAAGTAGCATGCCTGAAGACCAGTAGCGAGTCACCACAAAATGTAACAACAAAAAACTTATGCATTAGAAACCCATCTCATAGCCTACGAAAACTATTATAATTACTAAAATCAAATAAGATCGAGCCATCACCTGGTAGAACTATAAATCTTGTTGCACCTCTTTGGTTCATCTTCACAGCCCATCGAAATCGACTACGATCTTTCCATGTAAAATGACCGACCAAAAATGCATTTGCAAGAAGGCACAAGTGCAAAGCAGAGTGTGTGGCAAGTGTTTTAAGTCACCTGTTAAACAAAGAACAAACATGGAATTAGCCCGTAATCGGCCTCCCGAGAGTTGGGGTACAGATTCAATCATATGAGTATGTCCTCTTACTCTCAGAAACAAACAATAACGCGAGGTCTGGTCAGAAACAATACTGGAAAACGTATTGAAGCCTATGTTTGTAATCTCTAAATCTGCTCAATTACTGCTGCATAACTGAAACGAGCAGACCACAACTATTATCCATCATGAAATTTTGTAGGGATGACAGCCACCTCTAGGGCTGGAAGTTTGGTACCAGTATTTGGGATATACCGAATACCGTACCGAATTTGTCTATATTTGGTATTACCGAATACACGTATTATTTTGTGGGATTGGGATTGGGATTGAATTTCAATTGTTATTTGGTATTAGGGATTACGGGATTGGGATCGGTATATACCGAAATACCGATCAATACCGAAATATAAGCTAGTGTGTATTTAATCCTCTCAACTAGACTCTCTCATTCACTACTACACGACCATCAACCACCAAATTCGTCATTTAATTATACATAGATCATTACATCACTATTTCACACTAGTATTAGTCGTCTCTCAACCTCAAATTCGTCAAATTAAAGATTACCAATTACAAGAATTTGAGATGTTAGCTCTAGACAACTCAAGACTATTTGCTTAGTCTCTTTGCCCTAAATTAAACAATAAAATCTAATTTATATATTTAATTATTAATTGTAAAGGTAATTAATTATGTATTCGATAATACCGATTGGGATACCGAGGTACCGATTGGGATACCGAAATTATTTAGGGATTGGGATTGGGATACCGAAATTATTTAGGGATTGGGATTGGGATTGATTTTAGAGTGTAATTCGGCATTCGGGATTTCGGTATTTGGTATTGGGATACCGATACCGTACCGATTTCCACCCCTAGCCACCTCCATGGTTTCCTTGTCCAACAAGTTCGACATATTTTGAATTGTGAGTGAAAAGTTCAAATCTTCAATGTGCACAGAAAATATAATTTTGCGGCCAATTATTAGCCAGTAAATGACATAGTGTGAATTTGGACACATATTGATTTGACATGAGCAATGATACTTAGGACGAAGAGCAACCTTTAAAGTTTAAATAAAAGCAGGCTCAAATCCGTGAGATAAAGCCCAAAATAGAACTGCCGGAAAGTCCAATTTCGTGAAACCCACCATTTTTTTTTTTCCTTAGATAATAAAGTGACCTTGACCTATTTTTGAAAATAAAGGAAAAAGAAAATAGCGTTGCGAAGCAAGCATTCTCGCGTTCCCTCTCTTAGCGGATTATGGTGGACGCGATACTCCACCATTGCCGGCCATTCCTCCCGCCGCCGGCGGAGACCTCAGTTAAGCCCGCTCGAGCCAGAATCCGCCCAGCTTCTTTCCGATGTTGGAGCAAGGTCCTGTAGCTTCAATTGTTTCGACGTCCTTTTGTTTTCACTGTTTGGGGGTGTTGAATGGAATGCAAATGCAGTGTAGGAGGGAGTACACGAGCGTAATGATAGTCCCGACCGGTGTTGGAGCCGCAATCGGTGGATTCGCCGGAGACGCTTTGCCGGTCGCTCGTGCCTTGTCCTCCGTCGTCGACTGCCTCATAACGCATCCCAATGTCAGTTTCGTGCTCCACTCGGTTCTTTCTCAGTGGTAGTATATTGAATGAGTGAGAATGATTTCAGGGTATGCTTGGCGGGAAAATTCAGTGGAGAATTTAGGTTTTTGAGGTTTCTTCTTGTTGGCAGGTTCTTAATGCAGCGATGATGTACTGGCCGATGCCTAATGTGTTGTATGTTGAAGGGTATGCTCTTGACAGATTTGCAGAAGGCTTGTGGGCACTTGAACCTGTTCATCAAAATAAGGTAAGTTTGCTTTGATATTTTTTTTCCAGAGTGTGTAAATGGTGAATGGTATGGGGATGATGGGCTTTGTTTATTTTGTGATGTGAAGTAGGTGGGCTTAGTTCTTGATTGTGGAATAGAGGAAGAACTCAGAATACGCCATTTGCAAGTGGCTGATGCGGCTAGAGCTTCTCTTGGATTGCCTGTTGTGGAGTACATTGTCACTGATACCGCATTAGAGGTACCTTAGCATTATTGTCCGCAGAGAAAGAAAAACAAATTTATTTCTTTATTCACTAACTTTGCCATGAACTTCGAAACTCTTTCTGGTTTCGGGCAATTTGTACTTCTGGATAGTGGATACCAACATTTTCCCCATGTTAACTCATGGTTGTTTGAACTGACTTCTTTATTAGGTGGAGAAGTGGGTCGATCCGATGAGTGGTCAATCAACAGGAAGAATTAGGCATCCTGATTCTCTATTGAGAGCTGTACAGACACTGATCAACCGCTCTCAAGTGAATGCTGTTGCAGTTGTCGGGCGGTTTCCTGATGATGATGTTGATGACGTTGACGATTATCGACAAGGCGTGGTATGCTTGTCATCGTTCAAATTTTTCGAGATTCGCAATGTTGAATAGTCCTGAAACCTTGCCAGCTATTATAACTGTGCTTAACCTGAGTGTCTTTTGTGTTTATCTTAAGAAACTGTCTTCCGCTAATGATAGTTTGACTTTGCAGGGAATAGATGTATTGGCTGGAGTTGAGGCAATTATAAGCCATCTTGTGGTGAAGGAGTTCCAGATTCCTTGTGCACATGCTCCCGCAATGCTTCCTCTTCCTTTGACCCCGATGCTTTCCCCAAAATCAGCTGCGGAGGAGGTTCGACTAGAAACAAAAACTTTGGAAGTTAACTTCCTTGAAGCAATATGCACTGCATTTTTGTAGATAGTTTTGCTATTACTTCCCTCATTATTTCTGTTTATTTCAATGGTATTTCACAGACAGGTTACACTTTCTTGCCCTGTGTGCTCGTGGGATTAAGCAAAGCACCTCAATACAAGGTGAACTCTCATTCCTTAAGGAAGGATTGTTTATATGCAAGTGATGTGGATAGTGTAGTCCTTCCTATGGACTCATGTGGAGGAGATGCTGCCCTTGCATTTTCAAGAAGCAAGGGAAAGAAGGTACATGTAGAAAAACCATCAATTAATCGCATGTTTTTGTTGTTGTTGAAAGAACAAAAATGCATGGCCACAATGTTCTTGGAGGCTCTGGAGATCTGGTTGATGTCATTTTGGCTTCGTACAGCTGACCCTGTTTTTCTATCTCAAACGAGCCGTTTCTATAGGCCACTAAGTCCTCATAATTTACTGTTAGTTTGTTCTTTTTCAGCCACTCATAATTGTGGTGGAGGAAAATGAGACAGTCCTGGACAGCACTCCAGATAAATTTGGGATGGAAGTGGTATGCTTTCTAAAACAAACAGCTTAATCCAAACATCAATGAACTTTGTTTGAAAGCTTAGATGCCAAACACCATAGAGACTCAATGTGTTCTAAATTCTCATGTACTAAACAAATCAAAGTATGTTCTTACATTGCAGATAAAGGTTTCGAACTACTGGGAAGCAATAGGTGTTATAGCTGCTCACAAGGCAGGAATCAACCCCCATTCCCTAAGAAGAGATGGAATTGCAAACATCCGTAAGAACAGTCCTGTTAGGCATGCTAATGGGTTCTCTGTTTCTCTGCCACGTTGATAAGAGTATTCGTAACAAGTGCTTCACACGACAACTCTGTCCTTTCCTCTTCTTCAGCCAGTTACTCGCATACAATTCCAACGGTAAGAAGAAAAAAAGTCATTCTAGAGAATACGGCCGTTGAAGCTGTTCTAATGCCACAATACATGAATGGATCCCTGACTTGTTTCACTTGCTAAAACTTTTCAGGGTGATCTTCATGTATGTCTGTATGAATGGCAGAAAGGCTACATGGATGACGGGCGATGACTTGGCTGGGGTAGTATTTTACTAGTGAAATTCACCATATGGCAATTGCCATGGAGACCTTCCAGACCCCAGTCTCTTAAACACTCAGAACGGCGTCTAAGATGGATGATCATGCAGTGATATCAGCTCACCAGCAACTTCTCTGGTTTATTCTTGTTACTTTCTGTTACTGCATTGCGAATAGGAACCAGTCATAGCACTAGTGGGTAGTCCGCCGGGCAATCAGTATTTTGAGTGCCTTTCTTTGCTTACATTTTTGGAGTCTAAGCTCCACTTCATAGTTTTAAATTATGAAAGTGAAATGGAAAGCCTCCTTTCTCTCGGTTGTTGAATTCAGGAAAGGCTGCAAGTGAGAGTATGTTTGCAGAACTGAGGGAAGGGGCTATTTGGAAAAATCACAATAATTTAGGGACTAATAATCGCCGGACTATTTGAAGAACTGACGGAAGGGGCACTTTGAAAAACAACAATAATTTACGGACTAATATGCGCGGGCCAAAAAAGTATCTTAAACCGTTAATAAGCCCTACTTCATTGGCCCAAGGCCCATGGTCTGATGTGATAAACCAACTGGGCGCAGGAAAGGCCCATTTACTGTCATTTATCATGCAACCTCCAGGTCCAGTCCAGGCTCAATCATATCCGTTCTCCTTTTTCTTTTTAAATTTTCCTACTGGTGGTCGTTTTTGCTTTTAAAACAAACGCTCGCATAAACCCTAGCGGTTTTTCCCTTTTCGCTCTTGGCACTCATAAACCCTACCTGCGTAAACTTGAAGAAAACAAACACCTCTGCGGAAGGAAGAGAGAAATTTGGGTGCCAGAGTCGGAAGAAGAAGATGAGGAAGAAGGTGGACGAAAGAATCAGAACCCTAATCGAAAATGGTGTCAAATTGAGGCACCGTTCCCTGTTCGTCATAATCGGAGACAAATCGCGGGAACAGGCAAGCAGAATCTCTCCTTTCTTTCTTTTTACAATAAATGTTTGGTGGAAAGCTTACAGTAGGCGTTAGTATCTGTACTCGAGAGTCTGAAAGTTGGTGGTTTTGTGGGTTTTCCTTGTAGATTGTTAACCTTCATTACATGCTGAGCAAGGCAGTGGTGAAGTCCAGGCCGACTGTTTTGTGGTGCTACAAGGATAAACTTGAACTCAGCAGGTATTTGAATTGAACCTTCTCGACCTGAGAGGAGAATGGTTAATTTTTCTTTATTGTAATGTCAATTGTTTGTGATTGGGTTTCATTCGATGATGTTGTAGTCACAAGAAAAAGCGAGCCAAGCAGATTAAGAAGTATATGCAGAGAGGGCTTTTGGACCCTGAGAAGGTTGATCCTTTCCAGCTTTTTGTTGAAACTGGAGGATTAACTTATTGTTTGTACAAGGACTCCGAGAGAATACTCGGAAATACTTTTGGAATGTGCATATTGCAGGTTAGACTTCACGTCTCTTTTGTCTTCTCAAGTTGTCCCCTTTTCACCTTTTGTTTCCCCCCGGTTGTTGTGTGTTTTTGCTTCGACTCTTCTGATTTTGCCAGCTTTGTTTCAGGACTTTGAGGCATTGACACCGAATCTCTTGGCCAGGACAATAGAAACAGTAGAAGGTGGCGGAATTATCGTATTGCTTCTGCGTTCTCTCTCATCCTTGACCAGTCTGTACACCATGGTTATGGTAGGATTGATTTTCCATTGTCTAGTAATATATTGTTAAAAAGAGAGATGATTGAGAAAGTAAGGAAATGAAGACTGTCTGAACCTGCCTTGGGCTTTGAGTTTAAAATTTACCTGTGCTTTCTTTTATCCTCTCCATTTATTAATACTAAATTACTGGACTCTAGATACATTGTAGGCTGTGTTGTGATTTTGTATAAACAATGACTATGGTGGCAGAATTTGGAGCTGTTAGAGAGCTAATATAGCGTTTGCTTATGTGTATGAATAACATTGGAATGTCTTTCAATTTCCAATGTGCATTGTTCTTGGCAAAACACAACCTGTTTTGCATAGTTTAAATCCTTGTTATTCTTACTTGAAGTAATGAGAGGGATTCTTGATTTCAGGATGTCCATGAAAGGTTCCGTACAGAATCCCATTCTATGTCTACTGCGCGGTTCAATGAGCGGTTTTTGCTGTCGATTTCCTCATGCAAAGCATGTGTAGTCATGGATGATGAACTGAATATTTTACCAATATCCTCTCATATAAGGGCAATCACTCCCGTACCAGTTAAAGAGGTGATAGTTTCTTTTTAACTTCATTGTAAACATTTCACATAAGTCTTGTCTGCTGCAATCTGCCTTGTGCTCCAGTCCTTTACTGGAATAACAAGGCATCTCATGACTGCTTTTCAACCATATTGTATTTGCTAAATACTTTTCTGTCGGGTGTTTAAAGGACTCTGAAGGTCTTTCAGAGGCAGAACGAGACTTGAAGAACTTAAAAGAAGAGCTGCATGATGAATTTCCTGTTGGTCCTTTGGTCAAGAAGTGTTGTACATTAGACCAGGTACCACCCGATTCTCTATTTCTGCACATTTATTAACGTATGAACACAAAATAATGGATGACCAACATAAAGAAAAGCTTCATTTATGACAGGGCAAAGCTGTAATTACGTTTTTTGATTCAATCTTGGAGAAGACGCTGCGTAGCACAGTGGCTTTACTTGCTGCACGTGGACGCGGGAAGTCAGCAGCACTTGGTTTGGCAGTGGCAGGGGCTGTTGCAGCCGGGTAAGGCTAATACTGCTGCTATTTCTTGTGTTCATAACACGTGCATGGAAACGAGCTGTAATTGTAATTAAAAATCTTGCTTTCAGGTATTCCAACATATTTGTAACAGCACCAAGCCCGGAAAACTTAAGAACACTGTTTGAGTTCATATGCAAGGGCTTTGATGCCCTCGATTACAAGGTGACTGTATCCTCCTTCTGTGGATTGCTATATCAATCTCCTTGCTCTCTGTCTTTGGATTCGTTGTAAGAATTTAGAGTGCAGGTGCTTCATTCTGGAGTTTCTTTTGTGAAATCTACAGCCTGTCCTAACTTGCTCACTTAGCTGTACATTCCCTTTGGTAGTTTAATTGTTACCATGATTCCTGATAGTTCTAGAGTTTCTTTTATTTACGTTACATTTATTGTTATTTGTATCTGTTTATTGAAAGTACATCATGGTTTTCCCCCAGGAACACATGGATTACGATGTTGTTAAGAGTGTTAGTGCTGAATTCAAGAAGTCAGTTGTCCGGATAAATATCTACAAGCAACACAGACAAACAATTCAGGTTTGCTGAGGTTGTTTAATGTTTTATTTCAAATCATTTCTCCAGATTAGTCCATCTGACAGCAACCTTTTTTTCTTTTTCTTTTCTGTGTCTTGTGCTTTGTTACAGTACATACAACCTCATGAATATGCAAAGTTATCCCAAGTTGAATTACTCATCATAGATGAAGCTGCTGCTATCCCATTGCCAGTTGTGAAGTGCTTGCTTGGTCCTTATCTCGTCTTTCTTTCATCTACCGTGAATGGGTATGATGCTTTAGCTTTGTGATCCAACTGCATTTTTCAGATTGATTTGTCTAACTAGCTTTATCTATCTCGTGCTCTAACATCTGCTTTACCATTTTGGATATATCTACCAAAAGGTATGAAGGAACCGGACGGTCTTTGTCACTAAAACTGCTGAATCAGTTACAACAACAAAGTCAATCAAATGCTAAAAGTGCAGAGGGGTCTCTTTCTGGTAAGCGAGTGTCTTATGTTGATCTTTTATTCCATTGCACCAATGTTTGCTAAACATTAGATATTAATAGGCGAAACATAATAATATCAGGAGTGTTACTCCTTTGGAAAGGAAGTCATCTGTACTGTGTATTGATAATCTGTTCATAGTTAGTTCAATTTAACTGGATTTAGGTGGATCAAAACCTTAGCCAGTTAACATTGAAGAAGAATGGGGTAAGAATTCTTTGTAAAATAAACTTTTCTTTTTTATCTGTTAAATGCAATTTTGTTATTCTTTGTAGGCCGCCTTTTCAAGAAAATTGAGCTCAATGAGTCTATAAGATATGCCCTTGGTGACCCCATAGAATCCTGGCTTAATGAATTGCTTTGCTTGGATGTCTCGAGCTCGATACCTAAAATCAGCAGGTCGGATGCAGCACAACTATGTGGAAAAAGTTGCCTGGTGCTTTAAATTCTATTTTGAACCAGCCTTTATTCTATGCACTGATTGTTGACTGCTTTCAGTAATCTTTCTTGCTCTGACCAGGTTGCCTCCTCCTGATGATTGTGTTCTCTATTATGTAAACCGCGATACACTTTTCTCATATCACAAAGATAGCGAAGAGTTTTTGCAGGTGAAATTGCCCTCGTTTCATTTTTTATTCTATCGAAATCTAATCTTGTCTCATGGTCTCTTAACTAATACAAGGGATGGCTTGGTTCATGCAGAGAATGATGGCGTTGTATGTTTCATCACATTATAAAAACTCTCCTAATGACTTACAGTTGATGGCTGATGCTCCTGCCCACCATTTATTTGTGCTTCTTGGTATGCTGCTTGTTTAGGAAACTATTTATGCATCGTGTTTTAGCTATGGATAGTTTTCAACTGATATATTTACTGCAGGCCCGGTTGATGAGTCAAAAAATCAGCTTCCTGATATTTTATGCGTTATTCAGGTAAAACCCCTGAGGTCAGATGTTTTCTTACCATTTTTAGTTTCACTGTGTATATGATTCCTTAAATAGAAAGTATATTATTTTGTTCATGTTTACTATGGTACATTCTATTTTTTACTGCTTGTATTTATCTAGGGGTTCAGTCCACGCTGGGCTGAGTCAGTATTTGGTTCAAATTGGTCCTGGTTGAATATGAGATGATTCGGTTTCGTTCCTGAATTAGTCTTTTTTTGCCTTCGATTCTGTGATCCTCTTAAAAAGGAAGGAAATGTGGACAGAATAGGGACTGGATCCAGACAAATTGGTTCAAATGCGATTTTGGTTCGAGTCTTGTCCTCATTTCCCTTTATTTTCGATCCAGTTTTCTGGACTTGACCATACCATGCACACCTCTTTTCATCTTACCAGGGGAATAACTATGCTTCTTTATTCAAGATTCTTGAGTTGAGTGTGTCACACATGTCTATTCTTCTGCTATTCATTCTATCTTTAGATTCACAAAGGCATGTATTTACTGTTTTATTTGTACCCAATAACAGCTACTAGGGTTTAAATTTTGTTGTTGCTGGTCTGGGATTTCTATGCAAGTTCTATTTGTGTGTTATGGTTGTTTTTCTGATCAATGTAATTCTCACAGCATTTGATCTTCTTAACTGGTAGGTCTGCCTTGAGGGCCATATATCTCGTAGATCTGTAATGAAAAGCTTAAGTGAAGGTCACCAACCTCACGGGGACCAAATCCCTTGGAAATTCTCTGAGCAGTTCAGGGATACCACATTCCCTAGCCTCTCTGGAGCTCGTATTGTAAGAATTGCCACCCATCCAAGTGCCATGAAGGTTGTTTCCCGATCCTACAAATGCATGTTTTGGGGTTCTTTATTTTGTCCTTTCCATAGTTCCATAACAGTTTGGTTTTATATTTGCAGTATGGATATGGATCCGCTGCCGTGAACCTCTTGACAAGGTACGGAAACCTTTTATTTGCTCACATTTGCAACATATTGTATCCTGGTATCGCCCGTTTTCGTACTACAGGGTCTATCTTCCTGGTCAACTTTCCAAAGAAACTAGGATATACTGCAACAGAAATCCTTTGGCTCTGTGTTCCATTTCTTCTGGGACACACTTGGCTCCTTAGGGTTTCTCTTCCTGGCCTTCCAACAGGGAAATGCTTTGGTTCTATGTTTCTCCATTTCTTTAGGGATAGTTGGATCCTTAAGGTTTCTCTTACAGAGAAACGCCTACAGGACAACCACATTGGAGCGCCATTAGCAATTGTCGGGTGATCTGTGCTTTGTAGATTTCCAACAGATTGATGCCCTGCATGGTACCTCTCTTCTAAAGAGGGAAATAAGAAATACTATATTACATGGAAGAACTGCATATAACAATTTGAATGGCTAAATTTTTGGCTGAAAGCACTCTGGTAATTTGGGATGAGACGGTGAAATGAATGTAGTATCTAAATTTCTCTGTTTGGATGTATTTGTAGGCGGAATGTAGATGATGAAATTTATCTTCAAAGGGGAAAAAAGTTTTTGCTCTTAGCCTTTATTTTTATTCTCATTGGAATCCTTTGGCCTTCTTCCATTGTGGTCGACAATGGCCGTGGGAGAAGAGGATCCAATTGATGGCGAAAAATGAGGACTGCCGGGGTGACATTAACTTGCCTTATATAGTTGGAAGATTCAAGATTGTGAATCGTAGGTTTTTCCAACTGTTTATTGGTAGTAGGGATGATCAAATGATTAGAATCTCATCCCCTACTTTCCCTCATTCGATGGAATTAAATCGATTCTATCATTTGTTGGATAATAGACCAGATACCATCATCTAATTCCACCATCCAAACTACTGATCATATGTTGCTCTGCCGTCAGGATTTTTTTTTTTATGGTTGTGCTGTCAGGATTTACTCTTGAGGTACTGTTGATATAAATAGTTTTCCTCTTCAAAGCACAAGGTTTTTGAATATCGTGAAAGTTTTCTGCAGGTACTACGAGGGCGAACTGACTGGTATTTCTGAATTAGATGCTGAGGATGATCTGGTTGAGACTCCTCAAGTTAGAGTTACAGAAGCTGCAGAGAAGGTTGGTTACTTCATTATTAGCATTTCATTCTTTTATGTGCCGAGCAAGAACTTAGTTGTTCTCATACTATTTTTCCAGGCTTCACTGCTTGAAGAAAATATAAAACCAAGAACAAACCTTCCACCTCTGTTAGTACGTCTTGGTGAACGACAGCCTGAGAAGCTCGAGTACCTCGCTGTCTCCTTTGGGCTTACTTTGGATCTTCTTAACTTTTGGAGTAAACATAAATTTGCTCCATTCTACATTGGTCAAATTCCAGTTGAGTTGCAATTCTCTAGTAGTTGTTAGTTTGGAATTCTTCATTCCACAAAGTGTGTGGCCTAAAATTTCTGAGTTTTCTTTTGACAGAGTGCTGTTACTGGTGAACATACATGCATGATCCTCAAACCATTGAAAAATGGTGCTGTTGAAGTTGATAAGTCTGATGAATGGGGCTTTTTTGGTCCTTTCTACCAAGGTTGGCTTCTCCTTTGTAATTTACCTTCCCCGCTTTTCTTATCATTAGTACTGTTTATGACTAATGCTCGATATGGTGTAATTTTCAGATTTCAGGCTAAGGTTTCTTAGACTTTTGAGTTCCAGCTTCCGATCAATGGAATGCAGTCTTGCTATGAGGTTAGTAATGAAATAGTCATAGTCTTAAAAATCGTGATTGTGTAAACCCGGAACGTCTTCAGTGTCCTATAAAAATAACCATGAATACCGGATAGGTGTACATCAAAATATTAATATTGATATGACTATGGTTCACATTAAAGGTATGGGTAATAGTGTGGAATAAATGAATAATTTTATCAAACATGTCAAAAGAAAAGGACTTTAGGTGGAATTGGACTAGATTTTCCAAATCAAAATGTTTTGGACAAGTAGTCCTTACACTTGAAGATTAAATGACTAGTGTAATACAAATTGGTTTTATTGCAAAAGTATAATCTATAGGTAGATTTTACCGGGCAAGATTGTAACTTCTAGAGGTCAGGAACATTGTAACTTCAAAAGATCCATATTAATACTTTGATGGTGTTAGACTTGTAAGACCGTCAAGAAGCAATAGTAAGCTTGTAACAGCAAAATTGTAACTTGTGCATATTTGTTCATAAAGCGTGTTAGATTTTTATGGATTTTGGCGTCAGTAATGGTTATGCTCAGTTCAGTTTTTCATGTTCTGATCCTCGTCATATTATCCTTCATCTCACAGGGTCCTCGATCCTAAAATCAACTTCACGAATATGGAGGCGAATCAGAAAAAATCTGTCCCAGATGGATTCTGGAAATCACTCACTGAAGATCTATCTCCTTATGACATGGAACGTCTGAGGGCTTACACTGATAGTCTTGTTGATTTTCATTTGGTAAGGCCTTGATTCTTTTTAACTGCTCCGAATTTTTACTATGCTACTGCTCTGAATATTTTATGAAAACTATGTCTTTACGTGAGCAAGAAAATAACCTCCTTTTCTTTCTCTTTTCTAGATTTTAGACATTGTTCCAGTACTTGCTCGCCTGTACTTCAGAGGAAAGCTCCCGGTCACATTGTCTCCCGTTCAAGCGAGTGTTCTACTTTGCATTGGCTTGCAGCAGCAGAATTTTACTCATGTTGAGGTAAGTTTTTCAACTGCAGTAGATGCTATTTGTAGTTTGCTGACTCATGAAATCGGTCAGATAAATGAATGGTAACTAAACTCTGGGGTTACTAACAACTTTGTCATTTATTTAGCTTTGGTTTTCTAACAAGCATAATGTTCACTCTGTCCATCTTGATTAGAATACTCCTCAAATGGTCTGGACTGGCTTTATGCCTTGCTCAAATTAACAAGTAGACATGAGCTTTCTATTTTGGTCCATACACAATCCAAGGGAAGCCCATAGTAGAAACACTATATGCGCTGACTTGAGCATTCTGTTTTGGTCCATACACAATCCGAGGCAAACCCTTCGACCCAGTTTCTATGCATATTACCAAAAACAATCCTAATCCTTCCTCCCTTTACATGAGCTATCTAATTAGTGGGTGATGTGCCTTTATTGTTAGTATATTCAGTTGGGTAAGTTGACTTTTCCGGGTTGTCTGGATGAAAAACCTGATGGAGATGGATGGTGTTACTGTTATGTTGGTTTTATTTCTAACTCCAGTGACAAAATCATTAATATTCAAAGCTAAAATGATTCATTTGTAAGTGTTACCGAAGGTTAGTAACCTGGCATTGTTGTATTTGTGTGCTTCTCTGGTTTGAGATTCAATGGAAGATGGTCTATTTGGGTGGTTTTCAAAATCTATGGCTTGCTGATGCATTTTCTTTGTGCATCTTGAAGGATTTTTTGAAGCTCTATGATAGCAAATTCTTTTGTTATTTGCAGGAACAACTGAAGTTGGAAAGAACTTTAATTTTGTCAAATTTCATGAAAGCCATGAAGAAGATCCATCACCATCTCCACGGTGTTGCATCTGATGAGATCCAATCAACTCTTCCCCGACTGAAAGAGGTAAGACCACGGCAAAACACCATTAATAGAGTAAAATGAAAACAATATCCAATGAATATCTGTGGTCATCTCTATTGCGTGAGCTGAGCTTCTTTTAACCCGGTTATTATGATTTCACCTTTTTCAGACACAACTGGAACCTCTCACCATTTCGGTGGATGATGAACTCGATGAAGCAGCAAAGCAAGTCAAGGTGCTTGTGTGTGTTCATCTTTTTAACTACTCAACCCATTTTTCACAATGTACCAATGCCTGAATGTGTTGTGTAAACTTAAGTGTGCAGGCTAAGATGAAGAACAAGGTGGCCGAGGAGAAGGTGGATGGCGAGGAGAAAGATTTGGGTATCCTCCAGCAGTATGCGATAGAGGGAAGGGATGCGGATTTCGAGGAGGCACTACGAGATGGCGGGATCAACTTAACCTCGGGCGCTGTGGTGAGCTTGAAATCTACTGCCAAGGTTGAGAAGAAGCATGGGAAAGGGGACAAAGACCAGTCTGGGAAGAAGAGAGGTAAAGAAGATGGTCACAAGGGATCGAAGTCCAGTAAAAAGAGAAGATCATAGGAGACATGTTTGCATTTGTTGAAGTGTATGGAAGATGATGGAGTTTAAGATGTAACTCTGAATGATCACAGGTGGTAAGAGTGAAAAATGATTAACAAGGGCAATTTTGTGGGAGAATGGTATCCTGAGCAAAGTAGGCATTCAATTCTGTCACTTGGCATATTGTTTTTGTTTAGTGGCAAATTTTGGCTGGCCAGTGTTATTTGTACTATGTATGTTGTCTCCGAGGAAAGCACAAATTATTATCATCAACAAATTATTAGCATCATATTTCTACAAAATAAAACTAATAAGAACCCACATATATAAGATCGTTGTTTTTCTTCTTGGTTAAACGGGTATTTTGTATTTTTATTTTCAGATAAAAATGAAATATGTTATCATTATAAGGTGTCATTTAAGCGAATGAATGGGTAGTTCATATTATAACTCAAAAGGAACAACATACAAAATTTGTGTATCAACAAAGCAAACCATATAAGCATATACCCTCGAGACAACAAGATTTCCAAAAAAACAAAATCTTCTTATGTTGATCATATACTAAAATTATTTCTATTAAGTATTAATGAAATCTTGATTACAATTTAGTCTTATATACTATTATTAACATAGCGTACATCGTGGATGATATAGCGGGACAATAACAACCTCACCGGCCGGATCGAACATTGTGGTTGAAACCATCCACGACATACACAGCTCGATTGCCACAACAGTCTATATAAACAGGAAAAAACATAACGACAAATTCCAACAACAAACTAAAATCTCAGTTCCCAATACTACGGACAATACCCACAAAAAAAATGGGGAGCTTGCTTCGATTCCTGACCGTCGTCTTCGTAATCGGCACGTGCATTAGCGACGACTTCATAGTCGTCGCTAATGCAGCCGACTGGGGCTTCTCGTTCCCCTACTACTACTGCAGCAACGTCCCGATCGAAGAATGGAGCGGGCTAGGACAGGCGCGGACTAACATCCTCTCGGACCTGGTGAAGCTCCACTGGCAGCCGCGGTACCGGTCCCAGCCACTGACGTGCATCAGGGAGACGAGGGACAAGGCCACCATGTGGGCTCGAGTCGAGTGCGCCGTCGATCCGGCCACCGACACATGCAACCGCTGCCTCATCGCCGCCAAGAACTTCATGGACGGGAAATGCAGGTACTTCACCGGCGGGCGTATTGAGGAGAAGGACAGCACTTGTAAGATGCTGTTTGCTGATTTCGACGTTTGTGCTAGTTAAGTGGGTTTGATTGGGTTTAGACGTAGCTTAATCGATTTATTAGAGAGGCAAATAATTTTTTTGTATCGATTGTGGATGTAGTGCATTATTGCATTGTATTAAGTGGTATGATGGTGAAGCTAAAGAGATGAATGAAATTTTGATGATGCACAATTTTTTTCTGTGGAGAATGTTAGTAAATAATTTTAGTAGATGGAATAACATTGATATTTGGAAAAGAAACTTCATAAATGAATGATATACATACAGGAATAACTTAGTCTAAATAGTTGAAATATAAAGTTGTAATTTTTTTTTCCAGGTGAAAATAGGATTTTAGAAAGGTTAAAGGAGATGAAATACATGTGGAAATTTATGCAAATTATAAATGAACGGATGGAGAACTAGGCGAAACAAGATAGGTAGGAAGCAATACTCATACCCTGCCACCACGCTATTGTGGGTTGGGTAATACTTGTTAGAGAATGATATAAGATCCAACATAACATTCTCCCAACAACTCGAGTTATTGGGACCAACTGGTTTATGACTTGGTATCAGAGCTGGTTTGACCAAGTGGTCATGTGTTCAAATCTCCACGACCCCCAAAATTAACAGTTGATTAAAGGATAAAGTATGGTGATCGCCTCTGCAAACTCCAAATCCATGGGTTGGCTTTCGTTTGAGGGGGCGTGTTAGAGAATGATATAAGATCCATCATAACCTTCTCCCAACAACTCGAGTTATTGGGACCAACTGGTTTATGACAATACCCACCACAAACAGGTCGAGGCAGGTAGGGTCTCGCGGATTAGATTAGTGATTGGCATCACTAATGAATTGTCCCAGTCAGGGTCGTCCAATGGATCATGGAGGCCTTGTTCCAAAATCGAGATTTGGCCCATAGGATCTTTGTATAAGTTAATAAAACTAAAATGATTATAATATTATTATTAGAAATATAATATCTTTCTATTTTTTAGTCTCCATGAGATCATTATCAATTGTCATCATAGCTATTTTATTAAGATTTTTTTTGTATTATTGTTTATACTAATACAATTTTCGAAACACAAACCGTACTTTAACCATCAATATACGTGTTTAGTGTATATACTATATATACATGAGATTATTAATCAATAACTAACACTAGCATAATTAATATAATTAAACCTATCATCATTCCACTAATCAATTAATCGTACACTAGAAATATAACCTACAATATACCATCGGATTAACTAACGGATCTAGATGGAGGCCCCTAATATTCGGAGGCTCTGTGCCGGAGGGCCGATTGGCACACCCTCTAGACCGGCCCTGGTCCCAGTTTGAGACTCTTCATATCGGATATGTCATCGAGTTTCGTAATTTTCAATTGAACTAGTTCGATTCGGATTTAATCACACTTATATGATTACCGTAAGATGTTTTTTATATGAATTGCAATGTGTCAATAGTACATACTTAAAGTACAATAGGACATAGCCAATCTCAATAATACCAAAGCCATTTAGACTCACTTCGTTGTAGTGATGACGATTTTGACCTAACTCGTTTTATCTGACATGTTTGACCTGTTTTTGGGATGAGAAGTGCATAAATATTCTCCTCAAACAACTGTCATACCCCCACTCACCTCATTCTCGGCCCGCTATATATTATCTAAATTCCATGTAATTTTACACAAATTACTTAAAATGTTACTCTGATTACCACATATACTAAAATTAGTTCTATTACCAAAATCTTGATTAAAGTTTAGTCTAATGTTGTTATTGACATAGCACATATCGTGGATGAGATTGCGGGACGATAACAACCTTACTAGATCAAATGTTGTGGTTGAATCCATCCACGACATACACAACACATTTGCCATAACAGTCTATATAAGCAAGAAAAAACATAACGACAAATTCCAACAAACAAAATCTTAGATTCGTTACAGTTCTCACACCACAGACAATTCCGTATGTTCGAAATGGGGAGCTTCCTTCGATTCCTGACCGTCGTCTTCGTAATCGGCACGTGCATTAGCGACGACTTCATCGTCGTCGCTAATGCAGCCGACTGGGGCTTCTCATTTCCTTACTACTATTGCAGCAACGTCCCGATCGAAGAATGGAGCGGGCTAGGGCAAGCACGGACAAACATCCTCTCGGACCTGGTGAAGCTCCACTGGCAGCCGCGGTACCGGTCCCAGCCATTGACGTGCATCAGAGAGACGAGGGACAAGGCCACCATGTGGGCTCGAGTCGAGTGCCTCGTCGATCCGGCCACCGACACGTGCAACCGCTGCCTCATCGCCGCCAAGAACTTCATGGACGGGAAATGCAGGTACTTCACCGGCGGGCGGATTGAGGAGAAACACAGCACTTGTAAGATGCTGTTTGCTGATTTCGACGTTTGTGCTAGTTAAGTGGGGTTTGATTGGTTTTAGATGTAGCTTGCGTAGTTTAATCGATTTATTAGGGCGGAGGAAATAATGTCGCGTCGATTATGGATGTGTTGCATTGGTGAAGCTAAAGTGATGAATAAAATTTTGACGATGCACAATTTTCGTGGGAAATGTAGTAACGAAAATTGTAGTATGTGATTTAATGTTGTCAAAACATGATCGGACATCGACACAGAATAGGAAGAGATTTAGCGATTAACCGATGGCTAATCGGTATAAACTCGTTTCTAAAAGCTGGTCACTTACAATTGCAAAAAAAAAAAAAAAAAACTCGTTTATCTGCCCAAAGCGGTGCTTAATGGACTTAATCTTCGTTGAATAATAGCCTAAGGCTGAATCTGTGATCTGTAGCCTTCAAAATTCAAGAAAAATGGTCTTTTGAAAAAAAAAATTGTCCAAAAAATTACGAAAATGCCATCCCAAAATAAATTGGTCCAATTCGGTGCTTAATAAACTTAATCATCAATGGAGAATAGGATTAATAGACTTCACTATCAGTGGAAAACAGGATCAATAGACTTCATTATCGTTGGAGTAAAGCCTCAGAATGAATCTGTGGTCTGTATCCTCTAAAATAAAATAAAAAATGGCATTTCAAAAAAATCGACAGAAATCGCTGATGGTACAGGTACAACCTTTCGAATTTGTCTAAAAAGGACACAGAAGAAATCCACCCAAATCAGTGCTTAATGGACTTAATCTTCGTTGAAAAATAGTCTCATGCCGAATCCGCGATCCGTAGCCTTCAAAATCCAAGAAAAATGGCCTTTCGAGGAAAAAACGCCCACAAAATTACGAAAATTGTCATCTCAAAATAAAATGGCCAATTTTAGTGCTTAATGGACTTAATCGTCGATGGAAATAGGATCAATAGACTTTATTATCGGTAGAGAATAGCCTCGGGTTGAATCCGTGAGGTGTAGCCTCCAAAATTGAAAGAAAAATGGCATTTTGGAAAAATCACCTGAAATCAATGATAGTACCCCTTTCGAATATATGCCAAAATTGGATCAGGAAGAAATCTTCCCAAATTGGTGCTTAATGGACTTAATCATCGTTGAAGAATATACTCATACAGAATCCGTCATCTGTAGTTTTCAAAATTGAAGGAAAATAGGGTTTCAAAAATAAAAAAGGGCAAAAAGTTACGAAAAATACCAACCCAAAATAAATTGGCCCATTTCGGTGCTTAATAGACTTAATCATTGGTGGAAATAGGATCAATAAACTTCATTATCAGTAGAGAATAGCCTGGGGCTGAATTCGTGAGATGTAGACACCAAAATCGAAAGAAAACGGCATTTCGGGGAAATCACCCAAAATCGGTAACGGTACCCCTTTCGAATCTGCCAAAAATAGATCAGGAAGAAATCAGCCCAATCAATGCTTAATGGACTTAATTATTGTTGAATTATAGCCTAGGCAAAATATATAATCTGTAGCCTTCAAAATAAAAGGAAAACAGCCTTTAAAAAAATCGACCAAAAAATTACGAAAAGGCCATCCCAAAATAAATTGGCCAAACTCGATGCTTTACGTACTTAATCATCAGTGGAGAATAGGATCAATAAACTTCATTTATCGGTGGAGAGTAGCCTCGGACTGAATCTG